AGGATGTCACTGCCGAGGGCAGGAGCACCCCCGACAGACGGAGGACAGGCAGGGCCGGAGACCAGAGCGGTGGCGTAGTCAAGGCATCAGGTAGAGGCAAAGTTGGCAGCAACAAGAGCGTCAAGACACGAGACCGGAACAGGCGGGTCGGTAACGAGAGAGGCAAGGACCCGAGGAACAAGAGGACTAGCGGCACGAAGGTAGTCAGACAGAGGGGGAGGCGCAACAGCAAGAGAGGACGGAGGAGACGACGGTAGGAGGGTAGGACGAGACGCGTGCGAACAAAGCAATATAGGGTGAGAGCACAAGACAGGGGAGACGGGGCGAGCACGGGAGGGACGACGAGACCACACGTGAGACGGAGGAGTCGGGTCAGGAGACAGAGGAGGGGACACAGGAGGGGAACGAGGGGGAAGACGAGCCGGAGTCGAGTTCGGGGGAGGGAACAAGGTAGTACAGGGGAGGATATAGGGTTGGAGTTGTACCCTCTATGAACAAAAACCTATCTAGCCTAGAACTTCTATATATAAGCATATGTATATGTTGACAAACCCCCTTGTACCGCTCGACTGAGCGATACTGCGCTGGCGAGCCTCTATCTCAAACAGGGCAGTGACAAAGGCGGTAAGGGTGAGGTCACCTTGGTGCTGACTAAGGAAGTGGTCACGGGCACGGGCTAAGCAGTCCGTAAGGCGCATGGCAATGAGGTACAGGGTAGTGCAAAACGGCGGGGGGAAGGCATTGAGCTAGGCGTCAGTGCTAGCAGCGTGATAGCTAGTCTCTAGTGCACGGAGGTGAGTGGCTAGGTTTGTGACAGTGGGGAAAGCAGCAAGATCAAGGAACAGCATAGGGAGGATCAGGCGGCTAGCAGAGGCGGTGGCGGGCGTGGAGTAGCGCGCAACGACTACATCTAAGAAATCTTTGGCATTCGCGACAGCAGTGAAGCGCGGACGCTCAGACATGGGAAGAGCATGACTAATGGCTAGGTGCGCTACGGCATCGCGGGAATCCCTGATTGCGCAAGCTAGTGCAGCAGCTGAAAAGGCCTCACGCTGAGCAGTGGTGGGGTGAGCAGGTAGGGGATCACGCGCGGGGGGGCGGGGAAGCAAGCCATCAACATGCACAGCCATGGAGTGCCCATCATGGCGCTGACCTGTGAGGTGATGGCATAGATCGACAAGCCAGGCGGCGAAGTCGATCGCATGCCCCTCCGCGTCCAGGTGGAGTCCAGTGTCCGTCATCGTGCGACCTCAGCGACACGGCTCCACAGCGGCATGGCGGCACAGCGACACAATGGCACAGCTACACAGCGGCACAGTGACACAACGGCACAACTCCACAGCATCATAGCTACACAGCGGCACAGCGGCGCGGCGGCAGAACTCCACGGCAGGAAGACCGAGCGAAAGGCCGAGCTGGGCTCAGAGAGCCAGCAGAGCGCGACGAGCCGGCAGAGCGTGAAGAAGGCCGGCGAGGTGCAATGGGCCGGCGGGGCTCGAAAGGGGCGGCGGGGCGCGGAAGGGACCAGCGGGGCGCGAGGGCCGGGCGGGCCGCTAGGGGCCGGCGGGGCGCGTAAGGGACCAGCGGTGCTCGAGGGGCCGGCGGGAGCTAAGGGGCCAGCGGGCGCGCGAGGGGTCGACGGGGCGCTAAGGGTCGGCGGGGCTCTAGGGCCAGGCGGGGCGCAGGAGGGACCAGCAGGGCAAATGGGCCGGGCGGGGCGCGAGGGGCCGGCGGGGTGCGGAAGGGACCAGCGGGGCGCGAGGGCCGGGCGGGGCGCGAGGGCCGGGCGGGGCGCGAGGGGCCGGCGGGGCGCGAACGGGACGGGCGGGGCGCGAGGGGCCGGCAGGGAGCTAGGGCCAGGCGGGGCGCAGGAGGGACCAGCGGGGCGGGAGGGCTGGGCGGGGCGCGAGGGGCGCTAAGGAACCAGCGGGCGCGCGAGGGGCCGGCGGGGCGTGAGGGGTTGGCGGGGCGAGGGACCAGCGGGCGCACTAGGGGTCAACTGGGTGCTAAGGGCCGGCGGGGCGCGAGGGCCGGGCGGGACGCGTAAGGGACCAGCGGGGTGCGCTAAGGCCAGCGGGGCGCGCTAAGGGAACGGCGAGGCGCTAAGCTAGGGCGAGGGCTGAAGTGGGTGGGCGGACCTAACGTACTATGATACCATATTAGAGTAGCGGAATGAATAAAACAAGGTAGTACAGGGAAGGATATAGGGTTGGAGTTGTACCCTCTATGAACATAAATCTATCTAGCCTATAAATTCTACATATAAACATATGTATAAGTTGACATATGTTTCACATTTGATGAAAAACGCGTCACACGTCAAGCAGGCCTGACGTTTCAAAAAAACTCCCCCTGAGCTGTCGAATAAAAAAAAACGTTTACCCTGAGGGCTCAGGTTTCAAAAATTGCCTACCCTGATTTGTAAGGGTTCAGAAATCTGGAACCCTGAAAATCCCAGGGTTCACCGAGCGCGTTCAGGGTTGCCTTCAACACGAGGGGGGAATAAAAAATGGGGGGAAAAAGGGGAGGGAATCAAACCGAGGGGAGGGGGAGAGCGAAACGGAGGGGAAGGGGGAGGATGGAAACATAGGGGAAGAGAGGAAGCGAAACGGGGAGGGAAAAAGTGGGGGTTGGGGGGTGGGGGAAGTTCGAAATACAGTCGAGGAATGGGAGAAGCGAAACGGAGGAGAAGGGGGGATCGAAACGGAGGGGAAGGGGGGATCGAAACGGAGGGGAAGGGGGGATCGGAAACGGAGGGGAAGGGGGGGGATCGAAACGGAGGGGAAGGGGGGATCGAAACGGAGGGGAAGGGGGGATCGAAACGGAGGGGAAGGGGGGATCGAAACGGAGGGGAAGGGGGGATCGAAACGGAGGGGAAGGGGGGATCGAAATGGAGGGGAGGGGGAGTCGAAACCAAGGAAGAAAGGGGGAGGGAATCAAAACCAAGATTCGAGGGGCGAAACGGAGGGGAGATGGGGGAATCGAAATGGAGGGGGAGGGGGGAAACGAAACGGAGGGGGAGTGGGGGGAGCGAAAATGGAGGGGAGGGAGGAATCGAAGTGGATTGGAGGGGGGAAGCTGGGTAATAGGGCGGTCGGAGAAAATCCGCGCCCTAGCAGCACCCCGGCTGGGAGATCTTGGACGTTGATCAATGTGACCATCTAACGGTTTAAGTATGTCGAAACGATCGCAATCGATCTTGACCGTTACATTTTCATAGACTTAGCTAATTTTTGTGGGTTGTTGTTAGTGTGTAGGGGGGATGTCTGTACGACACATGACTTAGCCGATTTTTGTGGGTTGCTTGGTGTGTGAGGGAATGTTTGAGGACTTCACCAATTTTTGTAAGTTGTTGCATGTGGGGGGGAATGTCTCTGGAGATTGGGGACTTCGCCTAAATTTCCGCATTTTGAGCCACATGGATGTCGCACTCAGGGTTCGTACGCGTTACTCCCTGAAAACTCAGTGCTGGGATAACGCAAACCCTGAAATTCTCAGTGTTCACAGACATACAACCCTGAAGAGGTTAGGGTTCAAAAAAGCCCAACCCTGAAAATTAAGGGTTGGCCAAAAAAATACCCTGTGAAATCAGGGAATCAGGGTAAAATACCCTGATAACGACAGGCCTGACGTCAAGGCTTGAGTGCAGTGGGGATTACAATTCCACGACTATATATTCTTTTCATTCGCCTTAGGGTCGCCAGATCGGCATATATTGTGTTGTAATACTTCATGCACACATGGTAAGGATAGTCAACTATTCATGCAAATGTGGGAATAGAAGCTAAGCTGTGGTAGATACATGTGTATGTACTTAATGTGTATTAGACTGTGCGAGGAAAGGGACTTTTTAAGCGAGTACAGGTCAGGTATCTCGGATAGAATCCCATTCCAAACTTTGTGGAGAATGGTCGGCCCAGACACTCTACTTTGACCACGGGATTTTTTTCTCCTCGTGCCAGTTCACTCGCAACGCATGGCCAGAAAATCACCATCTCCGGGAAGGGAGCCACATCTAGAAAGAGGGTGCATTACAGTCCGTGGAATCGATAAGTGGCTAGAAAGCATCTAGACTGGAGGCATTTTCAGCCAGGGCTGCCGTAGGCACAGCAGGACTCCTCAGAGCCACAAATGCTTTGCTCGTGGAAGACATAATGATTACGCGATGAAACGAACGGTGTGCTGCCTGTCCACACCGGTTTTTGCTGATTCAGCACTTTTAGCCTGGAAAGTGTAGCACGTGAATGCATGACTAGGTAAGCCGCCGTCCCATTAGCCAGTCTATCCGCGATATCTCTTCCCGACTCCTGAGGGGCTGCTTCAGTTGCACCAGCATCCTGGTGACGTGTTTCCGAATTATGCACGTGCTTTACTCCTCAATTATTTGTGCTCCTGATCTTGTTTCTATTTCCTCCGTTCCTTTCGAGTGCCACATCAGAAGCTGACGCCGCATCACCCATCCAGGTTTGCTGTCGACTAAATTCCTCGCGAAATCTTCCTACGAGGGAGGCTCGCACGGTAACCACGCACAATAAATCTGCCCCAAGTTTCAGTTTCATCTGTTCTTGCGCACCAATCACAGCACAGCTTTCCACATCCAGATTTGTCTCGCATCCAAGTTCCGAGCAAAGGGGCGCTCCAAATCCTCCCTCACCCGCGCGCGCGGCTCGCCAATTCCCCTTTCCTCCCGTAGCGTACCCCTGCTTCGTTCCCCCCCGCCCCTCACCCCTCTCCTCTCCCCTCTTCTCCCCCAGCATTTCGCGCCCCTCCCGCCTCCTGTCTGCTCTTCCCCCCCAACCTCCCCTCGAATTTCTCCCGACCACACAAGGAAATAAAGCTCTTCACAAAAAATGAATCTGCCCGCATAACCTCGGGCAAAAAGTGCTCCGCGTGTGCCTGTTATTCCGCAACCTCCAATCCACTGTCACTTGCCTTGCTCGTCTGTCTTGCCTTGCCCCACGTTTTCTCCACAGCCTCTTTCTCCCTCCCCTTCCTCACCTGTTCTGCGGCTCTGGCTCGTTGGCTCTCACCTCCCGCTCACACCGCACAGCCCTCACTTGCAGACCTTTTCGGCTGACCTCAGCGCCCTGTTCTTTTTCCGTGCCAGCGTGTCGCACTTTTCCCAAACCAGCTCCCTCAACCTATATTCCTTTCATCCTCTCTTTTTTCGAACCACGTCCAGTTTTGATTCATCCTTTGCGCTGGGATAACTCCCGACCAGTAACTCTTTCCTAGAGCTTCGCTATTGGCCGCTCGTCCTGGAGCCAGACTTTGTTCGAAATTACGTTCAGCTAGCGACGCGAGACTGAATAACACATTTACATGAAATGGCGGCGATTGTGCATCTCCAGATGCCGGTCTTTGAAGCGAGCGCAGCAGCAGACCCTGGAATCCGTCTGTTCGGGCGGACGATTGAGGCCACCACGAGCCAGAGCGACTCGCCTCGCGCGTCGGTATCTGGCGAATCGAGGCGAACCAATGGTGGTCAGGAGGATGACACCGCCGAAACTGCCGGATCTTCCGCCGTGACTTCCGCAGCCTCTCAGCAGCAATGCCGCGGACTGGTACGCTTTCGCCGTATAGGCCAATTTCTCAAAACCGATGTTATCCTTACTCGCATGTCGGGTGGTTCATCTCCCCTTCGTCAATTTCTGAAACCTCAACTCAATTCTCCTTCGCGTCTTGTTGTTAATTCTATCCTCGGTATATGCAGGATGCGATACTAGCCGCGGCAATGGAGGGCCAAGCAGCGGCCGGCAAGCCAAGCATGAAAGGCCAAACCGGCGGCATCGCGGCGTGCTCGAGCCTGAAAAGCCAAGTCGACGATGAGAGCGACGGCGAGCGGCGCTCAGGGAACGGCGCGACGGAGAGCGAGGATGAACATATCGAGGACGAGGGGGTGAATAACGCCGGATGCAGAAATCATTCGGAGCAGGACGACCAGGATAGCGACGGAGCAGGGGATAGCGACGGAGCCGGCGATAGCGGCGTGGACGAGCAAACGGAGCAGGGACAGCCGGGGCAGGTGCAACCGCAACTGGAGCAGCAAACGGCAAAGCAACAGTCCACCTGCGACGAGCAGCAACAGCAGCAGCAGCAGGAGGAGACTTGTGACCAGCCGCAGCAGCTGGAGCAGCTATCGCCGCAGCGGTCGCAGCAGCAGCAGGAGCAGCAGTCAGAGCAGCAGTCGCTGAAGCGGCCGACGGAGAAGCTTCCTTGCCCGCGGTGCGCGAGTTTGGACACCAAGTTCTGCTACTACAACAACTACAACGCCTCCCAGCCGCGCCACTTCTGCAAGGCCTGCCAGCGCTACTGGACCGCCGGCGGAACGCTCCGCAACGTCCCCGTCGGCTCGGGCCGGCGCAAGGGCAAGGCCCCCGCGGGCGCCGCCACCGTCGCCGCCGTCGCTGCGGGTGTCGCTGGGCCCGCAGGAAATTCACAGCCGGCCGGCGTGGCGGTTGCCGGTCCGTTCGGGTTCTGCTCGCCGATTGGTCGCAGCTGCAGCCCGGACGGCAGCAGCATCACTGGATTGACCGGCTTGACCGGACTGACCGCATTGAGTGCCGGAGTGAGCGGCGGGTTGACCGGAATGGCCAGTCCGGGGGCTGAAGTGCTGAGTCCGAGCTCCCCCGCCGCTGCCGCCGCCGCCGCCGCCGCCGCAATGGCCGCCGCATCTGCCGCCGCCGCAGCCGTCGCGGGGTCTTCTCGCTGGGGCATCGACCCCGCTGTCGTTTCTACGGATGCTGGGACTAATGCTGGATCGAGTCTATTTACCGGCGGCTTACCGTACGGCCAGTTTGTGCCGTCTAATTTGCCGACGCATCTGCCGGCGCACCTGCCGGTGCACGTACCTCCGCATATGGCGGGTGACGCCAGCGCCGCTCTCCGCCAAATGGGGCTTCCTTCCGCCTTTTCCGCCCCCACCGGCGCAACTTCCGCCTCGCCGCCTGGGGCGCCGAACGCGCAGGGAACATCGGGAGCAGCGGGAGCGGTGGGAGCGGTTCACTCGTTCCCCTACTCGCCCGTCGAATTCCATGGGAGGATGGGCGGAAACCCGGGGGGTTTGGCGGCGCTTTACCCGTGGAGATTCGCCGCGGTTCCTCCCTTCGCGCAAGGTCAGGCGCAGGCTTCCGCCGAGGCTACGCTTTCTCTCCCTGGACTTCCCAACTTATCCACGCCTGGCGCGAGCCCCTCCGCGCACTCCCCGCTTCTCGTGTCCGCGCCCGTACCTTCTCCTTGGTCCCCGTACATGGGCGTGTATCATCCCGGGCCCGGCGTTCTTCTGCCTGCGTCCGCGCAGCATCCCCCGAGCGCTTCCCCCTTCGCTCCCCCCTTCAACATGCCTGCTTTTCCGCCAGGCGCGCTTGGGCCCTGGTCTTCCACGGGCTTCCCCAATGCGCCCAGCCCTCACTCCGCGCAGCTTCCCCCTCATCCGCCCATGGACCTATCCCGCCCAGGAGGAACCCTTTCCCCCTGGTCCGCCGTTCCCCCCCACCCCCCAACTGCTTCCGCCACTGCCGCTGCTGCAGCTGGTGCTATGGCTGCTCGTCTCCCCTCTGCTTCGGTCCCTGCTTCGGTTGGAGGTCCGGTGCCATCCGGAGCTTCGTTCCAGTGGTGGCAGGTCCCAGGCGCAGGAGCAGGCTCGGCAGCTGCCGGACCTGATGGTCTGCCCGTGCCTGGTGTTGCAGGGGGAAATGGAGGGGGAGAGGGGGGCACTCAGATGGAGGGGATCTGTGGGAAGAGAGCAAGAGATGGCGAGGGGGTTCCGAGTGGGGGTGATGGTGCTGTGGTTGACTTCCTGAACAAGCGGCAAAGAGAGTGCTGAGTCGGAGTTGGATGGTTTATCTTGCGGTTCAGTGCGGTGGTGTGCCCACATGCAACTCTGATATACTCGTTACAAAGTAACTAGAGTATGTACTCCTAAGTGCAGGCGTCTACAGAGAGGCCCATCTGGCATGGCTTTTAAATACAGGTGTTTTGTGCTTATAATTCTACTGGTTTGCCTTGCGTAATGTTCTTGACTCCTCCCGAAGGTAACTGTTTCTGGTCTAACTAATAAAATGGCTTGTACTTTTTGTGCCTGGTACAAGGCAAGGCGTTACAAGACTGATTGGGTTGTCGTAGAGGTAGGATAGCTAGGACGCCATGACTATGGCGGCGGGGTTTAGCTAGGAGGAAGGAGAGAGAAAAGTGTCAAACATGTGTACTTGTCATGTTTGTATAGACTGTATAGGGTAGTCTCTTAGAGGGTACAACCCTGAGATATATCCTTGTGTACTCTCTTTCTATCTAACATTCAATTTACAATTCTGATATGGTATCACGCGTAGGTAGGATCCCTCCCCACCTACCGCTTCCGCTCACCCCTCTAGCCCCTAGCCCAGTCGCGACCCCCCCTAGCCCCGTCGCGCCCCTCCTTGGGCCCTGTCGCGCCCCTCCTGGGCTTCGTAGCGCCCCTCCTGGGCTTTGTAGCGCCCCTCCCAGGCCCCGTCGCGCCCCTCCCAGGCCCCCTAGCGCCCCTCCTGGGCCCTGTCGCGCTCCTCCCAGGCCCCGTCGCGCCCCTCCTGGGCCCCGTCGCGCCCCTTCTGGGCTTCGTAGCGCCCCTCCTGGGCTTCGTAGCGCCCCTCCTGGGCTTCGTAGCGCCCCTCCAGGCCCCGTCGCGCCCCTCCCAGGCCCCCTAGCGCCCCTCCTGGGCCCCGTCGCGCTCCTCCCAGGCCTCGTAGCGCCCCTCCTGGGCCCCGTAGCGCCCCCTCCTGGGCCCCGTCGCGCCCCTCCCAGGCCCCGTCGGGCCCTCCTGGGCTCCGTAGCGCCCCTACTGGGCCCCGTCGCGCCCCTCCTGGGCCCTGTAGCGCCCCTCCTGGGCCCCGTCGCGCCCTCCCTGGGCCCTGTAGCGCCCCTCCTGGGCCCCGTCGCGCCCCTCCCAGGCCCCGTCGCGCCCCTCCTAGGCCCCGTAGCGCCCCTCCTGGGCCTCGTCGCGCCCCTCCTGGGCTACGTAGCACCCCTCCTGGGCCTCGTCGCGCCCCTCCTGGGTCCCTGTAGCGCCTCTCCTAGGCCCCCGTCGTGCCCCTCCTGGGCCCCGTCGCGCCCCTCCTGGGCCGTGTCGAACCCGCCTGCCGCCGTCGCACCCGCCCGGCCCCGTCGCGCCCGCCCGGCCCCGTCGCAGCCGCCTGGCCCTGTCGCACCCGCCCGGCCGCCGTCTAGCTCGCCCGGCCCCGTCGCACCGGCCCGGCCCTGCCGCACTTGCCCGGCCCCGTCGCCCCAGCCCAGCCCCGTCGCGCCCGCTCGGCCCCGTCGCCCCGTCCCGGCCCTGCCGCACCAGCCCGGCCCCGTCGCGCCAGCCCGGCCCCGTCGCCCCCAGCCCGGCCCCGTCGCAGCCGCCCGGCCCCGTCGCACCCGCCCGGCCGCCGTCCCGCTCGCCCGGCCCCGTCGCACCGGCCCGGCCCTGCCGCCCTCGCCTGGCCCTGTCGCACCAGCCCGGCTCCGTCGCGCCCGCCCGGCCCCGTCGCGCCAGCCCCGGCCCTGTCCTCCTCACTGGTACGGTTCCCCCCACCCCGCCCTGCACTGCCCTGCTCCGTGCCGCCCCGCACCACACTGTACTGCCTTGCACCGCACTCCACCGCACTACACCGCACTGCACCGCACTGCACCAGACTGTACCGCACTGCACCGCACTGCACCGTGCCCCACCTAGCTGCACTGCCCTGCACCGCACTGGACTGTTCCTGATGGCGGCGGAGCTTCGCTTCGACGCTGAAGGTCAGCCCCTAGAGTTCGAGGCGTGGCTTGCCGACCTCCGCCGCCAACTCACTGGCCAGCGGCAGGATGGTGAACCGCTTTCAGCACACCTTGACGGTACGCTCCCCTGCCCAGACCCCCCTGCTATTCTGCCCGCTGACCCCACACCCACTGAGCGTGAGTCTACTGCTGCCACTGCCCGTGCGCGCTCTGTCTGGCTTTCTCGCGATGCTGTCGCCCAGCTTGCCATTAGCAACGCCCTCCCCTCGTCCGAGCGTCCTCGCTTTAGGTCCCTCACTACTGCTCAGGCATACTTAGATGCTGTGATCAAGCGCTATTCCACCCCTCCGGCTGCCTCGGTGGGTCGCCTGATCCTCCCGATGCTCTTTCCTGACCTTGCATCCTTCCCCACTGTCTCTGACCTCGCTGCCCACCTGCGCTCGATAGAGAAGACCTGGCGCGCCGCCTGCACTGACGCACAGCTTAGAGCCCACCAGCCGCCCATTACCTCTACCCTCTACCTGCTTGCCACCCGCCTCCCTGACCGCCTTGCTGTCGCCCGCGACCGCTTCCTTAGCCTTCACCCCGCCGACCTCACCCTCACTGACTTTGTAGACACCCTGACTGTGATAGAGACCCGTCACCGCTCCATCGCCCAGGCGAGCGGTGTCGTGCCTGTCCCTATCTTTCAGGGTTGTGCCCCCGCCCAGTGTACCTTCTCCGACGGCTCTGTCGCAGTGGCTGAGACTGCTGCTGCCGCGCAGTTTCGTTCGGGGAAGGGCCGCCGCCCCAAGGTTGGGCGCGGCGGAGGCGGAGGCGGGGGTGCGGGCGGGGGTAGTGGTGGGGTCGGGTCGTCTGGTGTTGGAGCGGACGAGGGGACCCTGCCCAGTCCAGCTGAGCCGCAGCCCTTGCAGTTGCAGCAGCCGCCGCAGTCGCAGCCTTCGCAGCAGCCGCAGCAGCCGTCGCAGACGCGGCAGACGAGTGTCCTCCCGCCCGGGTGGCCCGGCGCTGGCGGTGGCCGGGCGCGTGGTGGTGTGTCGAGTGGCGGCGGGCGCTGTCAGTACCAGATCCAGACCGGTCCTCGCCGCGGCTTCGTTTGCGGTAAGATCGGTCACTCCACTCCCCGCTGTTTTCGTCGCCTGGACGACCTCTTTCGTCAGCGCTTCGGCCCGTCGCCAGACCTCCCGGACTGGCACAGTTTGCTTAGTCGTCAGATTCAGATCTTTGATATGGACATGGATGCCATTGTTTCTGCTCTGTATGTGATGTATGCTGCTGACTCTAGTGTGCTTCCAGCTTATTACTCACTATTGCCTAATGTAGGTGTGCCTAGTGTACCCTCCCCTGCTGCGTCAGGCGTAGGATCCTCTGCTTTGTGTAGTCTTGGTGCTTCCGCCGTCGTTCCGTCGCCCGACGCCTCTGCTTCGCTTTCCTTCACCTTGGACTCTGGCGCTTCTCGGTGTTTCTTCCGCGACTCCACCACCCTGACGCCGCTTCCTGTCCCTGCTGCCGTTTCTCTTGCTGACCCCTCCGGCGGTCCGGTAGTCGCCCGCAGTTCCACCACCCTTCCCTGTCCGGCGGTTCCTTCGGGCACTCTTACAGGTCTACATATCCCCTCGTTCTCCAGGAACCTAGTTGGTGTCGGCTGCCTCCAGGACCTTGGCGTCACCACTACGTTCCCTGGTCACGAGCGGTATGCTGTCTGTACCGAGGCCGCCACCGGTGCCCCCCTGTCCACGTTCCCCCGGGACCCGGTGTCCGGCCTGTTCACTCTGGACACCGTGACCCCCCCGGCTGGAGCGCTCCCCCAGGTTGCTGCTGCCTGCTCCTGTCGGTCCCTCACTCACCCGACCCTCCTTTGGCACAACCGCCTAGGTCACCCTGCGCTCCCGCGTCTGCGTCACATGTCCCAGCACGGTCTTGTCCTTGGTCTCCCAGGTTCTCTCCCCGCGTTTCCCTCCTCCCCAGCCCCACCTTGCACGCCTTGCGTCGAGGGTCGGCTTCGCCGTGCCCCTCACTCCTCCTCGTTTCCCCCTACCGCCGCGCCGCTGCAGACCCTGCACCTGGACGTCTGGGGCCCCGCCCCCGTCCCTGGGCCGCGTCGAGAGCGCTACTTCCTTGTGCTTGTCGACGACTTCACTCGTTACACCACAGTCTTTCCCCTGGAGCGCAAGGCCGACGTGCCTGGCGCTCTCATCCCCTGGCTTGTCTCTGCGCGTGTCCACCGCGGTCTCCCTGTCTTGCATCTTCACTCAGACCGTGGTGGCGAGTTTGCCTCAGGTGTCCTTGGTCGCTTTTGTCGTGCGGAGGGCATCACCCAGACGTTCACCCTACCGGACTCCCCACAGCAGAATGGGGTCGCTGAGCGACGCATCGGTTTGGTCATGGAGGTGGCCCGCACCTCCATGGTCCATGCCGGTGCACCCCATTTTCTGTGGCCGTTCGCTGTGCGCTACGCTTCTCACCAGCTTAACTTGTGGCCGCACCCTCAGCAGCCGCAGGTTTCGCCGACCCGTCTTTGGACTGGGTCTCCTGGTGACGCGTCTGCGTTCCACGTCTGGGGCTGCCTTGCTCACGTCCGTGCCTCCGGCACGGACAAGCTCACTGCCCGCACCCTTCCCTGCGTCTTCCTTGGTTTTCCCCTTGACGCGTCCGACTGGCACTTTTACCACCCGCCGTCTCACCGCTTCTTTCACTCTCGTGACGTCACCTTTGACGAGTCCGTCTCCTACTACCGTCGCTTCCCCCACCGTGGTCCCCCGGTTACCGCCCCCCTGTTCCTGGTCCCTCCTTCCCCGGTAGTCCCTGCCCCTCCTCCTCCTCCTCCCCGTCCCGCCCCCTCTGGTGTGTCCCACGTCACCCCCCTTCCGTCGGTGGACCCGGTTGAGGAGTCTTCTGACTCTGGCGGCCCTCCTGTGCAGTCCTCGCCAGCCGCCCCTCCCCTGGCGTCCCCTCCCCAGTCCCCTCCTCCACCGCCTCTGCCGCCGCTGCAGCCGTCGTTGCCGCCGCCGCCGCCGCCGCCGTCGCAGCACCCGTTCGCTGACTCTGGGGGTGCTCATCCCTGTAGCACTGGGGGTGGTCCCTCTGGGGGTGCTGGTGTGGAGCGTGCCGGTGGTAGCCGAGGAGCAGCTTGCGGTCCAGGTGTCGCCGTTGTGCCGCCCCAGCAGCAGTCCCCGCCGGTGTCCGCCCTTCGCCTGCTCGGCCTTCCGTCCCCCGACCCTGCGTCTGTTCCTCTCCTGCAGTCTCCTCCTCTTCCTGTCTACGGCCCTGTTTTCCCTCCGCCGGACTCGTCCTCGGCCCGTCTCCCCCCTCGTTCCCCTCCTGTGACCCCTCCTCTGT